ATTTTGGTCATGTTGTAAGAAGGGACCATTCCCTGGAGAAGGATGTCATGCTTGGTAGGGTGGAGGGTCGACGAAAGAGGGGGAGACCTTCAACGAGATGGATTGATACGGTGGCTGCTATGATGGGATCAAGTATAGCGGGGATTGTGGGGCTGGCGCGGGATCGGGCGGTGTTTCATTCTGCTGTGCATGGGGTCGCTATGGGTCGGAAACGACTCGACGGCACTTAACAACAACAAGATTCATGAATGAGAAGAAATGTTATGTTCACTTTCATATCATTATAGATTGTAATTTTGCTTCATTTTGTATTTTACATGTAACTCCTCAAGTCGTGTGGAGCTAATTTGGGGGTGTAGTATGAGGCAAGGATTTAACTTGTTTATTTCCCAAATAGCTGGTTTCCCCAACACACTTGTTGAATGGTGCAGTCTTTCCTGTGTTGGTTGGTCACTTGTTAAAAGTATGCTAAGTCTTTTTATATGCTTGGGTGTTTTTTAAATTTTCTGTTCACTCTAGTTGGCTGTTGATTTGTTTTGCTAGCACCTCAATTTTACTATTTTGGTGTCTCATACATTTTACTATGTATTGGGGCAAATATTCCCTAATTATCTTCTTTTTCAAAATTTTCTTAGCTGTGCCAATATGTGCTAATTCTTATTCAATATTTAAATCACCTACATTCTAAAGCATGATGTTGGCATTTTTATTCACATTTCTATTTCTTTATATTTTGAAAGGAATCTTTCCTCCTCTGTAAACAGGGGTAATGCAAGCAGCCTTTTGATAGGATTGTTGTATGTTTAAAGCACTGGATCAATTCAGAGCCTGTCCAGATTTTACAGAGGGTTATAAGGTTGATTTGGATCCTACCCAGTTGCAATTCATTTCTGGAATTTCCCAGGTGTGTTTGGAAGCAAGTGAAAAATGAGTGAGTTATTGCTAATTCAGAAGTCAAGCACATTAGCAGAGGTGACACGGCTGCAACCCCTAAGAAACGTCTCTCTGCCCTTGTTGCAGGAGGCTCTGGTGTTGTTAGGACCAGAAGTCCTCTTCCTACAGTGCCCCTTCTGCAGAGCCAGCAGGTCTCAGGTACAAGTGGCCATTCACACTCACAGGGCAATGGGCTGTCATGTAACTCCAGTTTTACTGAGCTTTACGGAAGGATGCAGGACAGGAAACAGAGTATATTGGGAAGGCAGCATCAAACACATCTTCGTGAGGGTCCTTCCAACAGCCTGGGCAGAACTCCTCAGGCCACAGCGGGCGCTCCCAGAGACAGTGATGAGACTGTGTGGTGGGCGGGGACAGCCCCAGCATGGGGCGGTCCTAACACAACCCTATTGCCCGTGAGCATAGCTTCTCCACAGAGATACCCTTGGGTATGAGAAAGAACACGCAGTGGCTTGTGCTTTCTGCAAGTCTTAAATAGGGACAAGAGACCCCTGAAGGCCTCAGGACCCACTCACAGACCTCCTAGTCCAGACGTAGTTCACCTTATCAGAGTCACTCATGACGTTTCACATTTACTTTAACCCAGTGCAGTTCAAGGAAACGGTGTGAGAAGGTAAATCCAGGATCATCTTCCAATGGAGAACAGGTTTAAGCCTGCTTGAAGCCCTTTCTCCTCGCCACACACCCCAAATTTTGTCCCTCATCCTGGAATTACGGGAGCTTTGGTAGCATAGTGCCTAAGGCACTTGACTGCTTACCAGAAGGCTGGGGGTTCAAACCCACCAGCCACTCCTCAGAAGGAAGGTTGGGCAATCTACTTCTGTAGTGATATCGCCTCGGAAACCCAAGGGGGGATCGCTATGAGTCAGGTCCGACTCGACAGCACATAACAACAATCTGGAATTGCAGTTTTCCAACAGGAGTGGACTTCAGAACCTCTCCACCCTGCTAAGGAAACCCTGTGCCACCCCATTTCCAGGGACAGCGGGGGCCATAGACCTTCAGTGGGTTCCCTTCTCACACCTGCTGCTTGGCGCCGTTCATCATTGGAACTCAGTCTGGCTCCAAGCCATGCTCTTACTCACCACACTATGCTCTTACACTTTTAGTATTTGGCTTTGCTCCATAACAGTTATTAATTTTTTAATGCTCAAGAGAAGATATTTATGCAAACTTAGAGAACTGAGTAACTTGTTTATTTCCATGTGTACTGTATTTTGTGCCTTAATTCCAGCCATTCTTTGTTATTCTTTCTTTCTCATTTATTTATCAGCCTGGCTTTTTGAGAAGAGAGAAAAGTACTTTTGGATCAGTTGTTTTCTTCTGTGCCCTTTAGAATAAATCCAGATATCTCGCCATGAAATTTGGTTATCTGAGCTTTTTATTTTCCCAAACAAGTGGTAGGCTTTACCATGCATCTGAGCTCTCCCTGCCTCAGCGAGCTTGCCTGTCTGTCGCAGCAAAGAGTGAAGCAGATGCTTTCACCCCAGGAAGAGCCCCAGCTCTGGTGCCCGTGTTCACATGTCGAGCCCTGAGCCGTGGCCAGGTGGTTCTAACTTGCCTGCTCTGGGTCTCACTTCCTCCATGTTCCCTCTGGCCCCGTGTCTTTGCTGGCACACAGAGAAAGATGAGTGAGGCAGGCTCATTGTGTTCTCCCTGTCCTTTTAAATCTGAGTGCTGAATTCACTGAGTTTGTTTTCTCTGATTAAATCTTTAAATCATAAAGTCTAATCCATGTTACAGGAGATCAAATTTAGGCCTAAGCCTGCCTGTCGCCGCTACCCCCCCCCCCCCACTGAGTCAGATATTTAGGATGGTAGCCTTCCATCAGGACTGATTTATACTGAAAAGTGATCCGATACTTTTTGTTCTGTTTATTTTAAGCTTCATAAATTTGGTTCCATGGTATCTTAACTATCTTTATTTCCCATTGTTCACATGTAGTTCAATTTCAAGTTGTGTTTCACTATACTTGTTTTTGCTTTCAAATACCACCACTCTAAAACTTAGTCCTCTGGTTGTTTTAACAGCAAGTTTTGTCTGCCTACAGGAGAATATTAAAAAGCGAGCCTCCATATCCCCAAGAAATGAGTGCTTTAGCTAAAGACCTAATTCAACGTCTTCTGATGAAAGACCCCAAGAAAAGACTGGGATGTGGTCCACGGGATGCGGATGAAGTCAAAGAGCACCTCTTCTTTCAGGTCAGTGTGTTGAACAGGTGCTTTCATGCCCTGCTCTTTTCACAGAGCTCAGCACTCTTGGTGGATGAAGGAACACAGTGTTTCTTGGAGTCTTTGCCCTCATTTCCACATACAGTTGTGTCTTTTATAAATAACAGGGACCAGAGTTCTACTTAGCACTTGACTGCTAACCAGAAGGCTGGCTGTTCAAACCCACCAGCCACTCCTCAGAAGGAAGGTTGGGCGATCCTACTTCCGTAGTGATACTGCCTCGGAAACCCAAGGAGGGGTCGCTATGAGTCGGGGCCTACTCGACGGCACATAACAACAACAACAACAAG